AACAATGTAGCTATGGGCTCTGTGAACTTCTCCCAAATAGGGGAAGTAGGAAGAAGTGATTTTACCCATACCCTGTCACATCTGGGACTTCCACTGTGCTGGGGAGGAAATAACGAGTAGAAAATGCCCAGGGAAATGAGTATCATCGTTGCTGTGTACTTTTCAGAGCAGGGACCCTACTCAACCCACAGCCTAATTCCTCAGTAGCTGGAGAGAATGAAAATGCAGGTGGATCAGAGCCCAGAACCTGCTGCTTTCTCGTATAGAACAAGCTTGTCCCCTGAACAACAGGTGAAATGGATGCAGCAGGAGAGGAGTGGGCCTTTCTCACAGTTTGTACCCAGTTACCACATGTTATGGGTTGAACTGTGTCCTCCTGGGTACCTGTGAATGTGACCTTATTTGAAAATAGGGTCTTTGCAACTGTAATCAAGTTAAAAGGAGGTCATTAGGGTGAACCCTAATCCAGTATGACTAGTGTCCTTATAAGAAGGAGAGAGAGACACACACACAGGAGAAAGCCATGTGACAATGGAGGCAGAGATTGAAGGGATGCCGCTACAAGCCAAGGATGCCAGCAACACCAGAAGCTGGGAGGGAGCATGGCTCTGCCCATACCTTGACTTTGTACATCTAGCTTCCAGAGCACAGTGTATGGGTTTTCTGGGGCTGCCATACCAAATTACCACAAACTGGGTGGTTTAAAACAACAGAAGTTCAGCTTGAAGGCGTTTAATAATCACCCTCCCTGAGCATCCCAGCTCTGAGGAGTAGGCCCAGGGCCAAAGCACTCATTTCAGCAGGACTCCACCCCTATCTGATGACATCCAATGTTGATTGTATGCCCAGGATATACTTAAAATAGGAATTTGAGTCCAGAGCCCAGAGAGGTCTGGTGCTTTGTCCAAGGTAACACAGCAAGCCAGCAGCAAGGCCAAGAACAGAGCCCTCAGTCTTGTGCTCCTGACCCAATAGTAAGAAATCCCCCATGTCCTACCCCAAGGCAGCTTGGCCCACAGCAGAGTTACCTGGGTTCAAATCCCACCTCTGCCACTTCTGAGCAAGGTGACCTTGGGCACATGGCACCTCTTCTCTGGGCCTTCATTTCCTTGTCTGGGAAATGGAGATGGCAGTATCTACCATACCAGGCTTTACCTTCACACACTCCCTGTGCCTCAGTTTCCCTATCTGTAAAATAGGAATGCAACAATACCTACCTCTCAGTGTTGTAGTGAAGATTGAATGAATTCTAAAATGTTCAAATACTTTGGCTGTTAGGATTCATCATAGCCTGACATTGACTGAGTCATCTGAACCCCTCCCCAGCTCTCCCTCAAATTGGGGAGCCAGGAGGCAGTATAATGGGAAGAAGAGGCCCAAGGCCATTTCGGCCCAGCTACCAACGTGCTGGCAGACTTTTGTGAAGTCACTGGACCCCACTTTTCCCCATCTGTGTACTGGAGTGAGGGGTGTTGCACAAATTAACCTGATAGGTCCCTCCACAGTGTGACTTTCTAAGCTGGAGTCGTTGGGTCCCAAAGTGACATTCAAAGGAGAACTGTTGGATTCTGGATCTCCCACGGACTGCTGAGATATATGAGGCTATTCCTGTCCCAAGGTTTCACAGAGGTCACAATGCAGCCAGCCAGCCCCCAGGGCACCACGAGACCAGGAGCACTGCCTCCTCTCAGCAGTCAACACTTAGCAATCCCTGCTACACCTCGCACTGTGCAATCTCTATACATGTTCTCTCGCCCAGTCTTCACAACCACGCTTTACATGTGCTGCCCCATTTTACAGGTGAGAAAGTGAAGGTTCTAACTGTCCAAAGGTCCTTAAATCATACTGCCTCTCTCATCTGTTTTAATCTTCCAATAATAGTTTCTGGGAAGTAGGCACTGTTACGTTTTTCTCACTTTATAAGTGGGGAAACTGAGGCTCAAGGCCCCAAGGGATTTGGACCCAAAATTGGACTTCAGATTCTGTGAGCTTACCCACCATGTTCTACCCTGTTAACAGTGAATGAGGGGGAAAGACAGAGCCTGGAACCTGCTGAACCTGTATGAGTATCTCCGCAACCCCCTCCTCCAGCCTCTCCAGGGGCCACCTGAGCTCAGCTTCCCCTGGACAGAGCGCACAAGGCAGCACCCTGGACCTGCAGGGCCTCCGAGCGAAACAAAACGTCAATCCCTGACTCTCGGAAGGGGTTCAGTGACATTTTATCACCTGAGTGTAAGCTTTTGGCTTGGATGGGCTCATGGCAGCCAGTGCTCAAGCCATCAGCTGGATCTTTTCCACCTCCTTGGAACCAGAGTAAGCCCTCCTCCATGGCCTCTTGGAGCAGCACCCTCCAGTGTTTATCTAACTTCCCCGACCCTGGCAAGTGCCTGTTGCCTTTTCCCCCCTTTCTCAAAAACCAGGACACAATAGGAAGCGTTTTCTTGAACTTATTAAAAAATCCAGACTTGTAAATTAATTTGTCCGTGTTGTACAAAGGCAGTGCAGATGAACTCATTAGCATGCACACAACAAATAATTATAGATGAATTTTTAGCTGGCCTGCCTAATGCGCTCGCTGGGTTAATTATGTCAATGTATAATTACATCAGCCCGGGGAGACATAATGGCATACCCCGCTGAGCAGGCCCTGCCTAATGACGGGTGTGGAGGGAGTGCTGACAGAGGAAAGACAGCGGCCTTCCCCGCACACCTGCCTACCTCGGCACAAACACCCATTGTCCGAGCCTCCCACCACCTAAACAAACAGGCGGGAGGAAAGGAACCTTGTTCCAGCCAGACCTGAAGGCCCCGGGTATAGGCACTACCCCGTTTCTTCCATCAGCAAATATTTATTTGGGTCGAGCTGTCCATCCATCCACAAGGGGTCCAGCAAAGGAGCAAAAATAGTTGCGGTCCTGTGCCTGCCTTATGGTGGAGTTTCAGTTTAGTGTGCATTTCAGCCGTGGGCAAACTACGGCTCAGCCGTGGGCAAACTACGGCCCGCGGGCTGGATCCGGCCCGTTTGAAATGAATAAAACTAAAAAAAAAAAAGACCGTACCCTTTTATGTAATGATGTTTACTTTGAATTTATATTAGTTCACACAAACACTCCATCCATGCTTTTGTTCTGGCCCTCCGGTCCAGTTTAAGAACCCATTGTGGCCCTCGAGTCAAAAAGTTTGCCCACCCCTGAGTTAGGTGGACTTGCAAATCACTGAAAATTGTAAGTACAATGAATGCTGTGAAGGAAAGGTGCAGGCAACTGGAGGACCTCATATCAGAGGACTGGTTGGTCAAGAAAGGCTTCCTGGAAAAAGTGACATTTGAGGTGCAAAGACGAGTCAGCATTAACTAGCTGAAAGGGGTAAGGGAGGGCAGGGTGTTCCTGGCAGAGGCTCCTGCCTATAAAAGGCTCAGGTGGGGAAGGTGCATTTGAGGGGCTGAGGGAAGAAGGGCAGTGCGACTGGAGCTCAGAAAGGCAGGAAAAGCCAGGGCTTCCATTTGTTCTGAGCTGAGCAAGTGCCAGGCGCCATGCTGCGCACTTTGCATGGATCTTCTGCACAGCCCCGTGAAGTGGGTACTTCTATGGTGAGGCACAGAGTGTTATAGTCTTTTGCCAAGGTCACACAGCAATCCTGAGAAGCAAGTATGGATTAGACCAGAACCCGGGGATCTGTCTCCAGGGTTCATACTCTTAATCCTTCTGCCCCCTAGCAGAGAACAGTGGCCAAGCAGATGCTGGCAGGAGACCCCGGTGGAAGGATGAGAAAGACTGAGGGCTCCGGTGCTTTTAAAAGGACTGTGGACCAGACCCAGGACCCTTGATCTGGAGTGAGGAGGCCCTGGCTTTCCTGGGCCCGCATGAACACTCGCCTGTGGCTGCTGGGGTTGAAATGCCCACACCACTGGGACAGGAAGCATCAGAGAAAGAAACCCAATTCAAATCTCACCTCCACTCCTTAGCAGCTTACCTGGCTTCTCTGAGTCTCCGTTTTCTCATCTGTGGAAATGAGGCGGATCCTAGCCAGCCTCCAGGGGATGCTGGGAGCATCATGGAGCCTGTTCCCATGGACAGGCTTGGTGACCTGGAAGATGCCACACCAACCCCTGGCATTATCCAGGTGTTCTTAGTACCTGCCTGGGTGGGGAACTGAGCAAAGCCACCTGGAAGAAAAGGTGCTGGATTCTAGATCTGAAGAAAGGAAGTGTTCGCTAGGTAACAGTGGGAGAGGGAACAGAATTCCAGGCAGATGCACCTGCACATTCCTCACTTTTTAGTTATTGGGAATTAAGGAGGCCTCTAACATCCAGGTGTGCATTTCCAGAAAAGCCATTATTTAATCGTCCTATGTATCAAAAATGATGGTATATTAGTCCACTGAGAAGCACCCCAAAGATTCTATGTGCAAGGCTGCTATTAGTGAAATGCAGGTGAAGGAAAATAGGGGGGAGCTGGAAGCATCCAGACCACATACAGCCTAAGGAAGTGCTGGGCAAGGCCTTGGGAGTGTCCTGTACCCTCGGAGTAGTCCCATGTCCCCGGAAGCAGCTCCATCTCTATCTTCGCTGCCTTCAAGCCTTGTCTGGAGAGGTTGGCCTCAGACTGATGGATTTCAGAGCAAGGTCCTTGCTCAGTGACATTCCCTGTGGTTGGAAGCATGCAAGGCACAGTCTCATGGCCACCATAGATGGCATCGTAGAATTTGGAAAATGCAATTATGGTGACAATTCTTGTTATTACCATCCCCAGCTGTTCAGGACACCCACATCTATGGGGACAACACGCATCCCCCTGAGCCAGTGCCTGGAAAAGACCTTCCTCATAAAGCAGAAAATCCACTTTGCTCCCCTAGACCATCAGAGCAACTCCAGGCAGCTCTTGTGGATTGTCCCCCTACTCCAGCTCCACATGGAAGGACCCGCCAGGTCCCATGGCTTCAGCTTAGGTATCCCCCAGCCTTCAGAACCCCCTACCACCCCTGTCCTCCTCTCTCTGCAGACCCTGTACCTGTATTTGAGCCAACGCGCAGCCTAGACGACAGACTGCAGCCCCCCAGCTTCAACCCCAGCGGGCATCCGCTGCGAGACCTCCACGCTTCGTGGAAGAGAAACCCCGAGCTCCTCAGCCCTAAAGGTACTGATCAGGCCTTCACAGGATGTCCATAGCAAACAACTTGTCTGTGGATCTTTGGCAGCCAAACTGTCCCTCCATAACAAATTCAGCTCCAAAGGCAGGCGCTAATCCCTGGGATGAGCTGCCCAGGCACCTGCAGTAAGCCAGGTGATGATTGAGCATCTGAGTGTGTGCCATCAACTGTGGGGAGGGGAGAGCAGTGTGGAGGTTCCTCAGTAAGTTAAAACTAGAGTTACCCTGTGACAGAGCAATTCCACTCCTACCCCAAAGAATTAAAAGCGTGTACATCAATATTTATCAGCAGCACCATTCACAATGGCCAAATGGAAACAACCCAAATGTCCACCAACTGATGAATGGAAAAACAAAATGTGGCATATCCAAAAAATGGAATATTACTCAGCCATAGAAAGGCATGAAGGTCTGCTACATGCTACAACCTTGAAAACGTTATGATAGTGAAAGAAGCCAGTCACAAAAGGATATATGTTATCATTCTGTTTATATGAAATATCCATAATACCTAAATCCATAGATACAGAAAGCAGGGCTGGTGATTGCCAGGGACTGGGGGAGATGGGAATGGGAGTGACTGTTTAATGGGGACAGGTGTCCTTTTGTGGTGGTGACAAGGTTATGGAATTGGTGGTAATGGTTGTACAATATTGTGAATACACTAAATATCACTGAATTGTACACTTTAAAATGGTGAATTTTATGTTATGTATATTTTACCATGACTTTAAAGAAAAATAGGAAGGCCAAAGAGGCAGAGACAAGTCTGAGAGGGCAAAGGAAGCCTCGGGTGTGCTGTATGAGGTTGGCATGATGGGAGCTTGACTTACATGCGCGCACACTTGCTGGCTGCAGCCCAGCTGACCTCGGTGACAGCAGGTCCCAACAGCTGCACTCTCTCCAACACTAAGTTTGGGAAATTGATTCTTCTCACAACTTTTGATCGATCTGATTTGCAGAAAGTGGCTCTGGTTGTCACGCTGCTCTCAGCAATGGGCATTTTTCCATCTTTTTCTTCCTCCAGAGCAGAGAGAGGGGTCGTCCCCAGCCGGGCCCACGCTGACCGAGGGGAGCCGCCTGCCAGGCATTCCCAGCAAAGCCCTCCTGACAGAAACTTTGCTGCAGAGAAATGAGGTGGAGAAACAAAAGTGAGTGGGGGAGGGACAGGCGGGCTCCTGCTGCCCCACCCGGCTGGGAGGTGGGACCAGGAAAGTCACCCCTGCCCAGGACAGCTGGGGAGTCCAGATGCAAGTTGGAGGTGAAGACATAGGCCTGGGTTTGAGCTCTACCTCAGTAGTTCAGTGGCCACCCTGGGCAGGTCACCTCACCTCTCTGAGCTTCAGTTTCCCCATCTGGAAAATGGAGCTAATGGTGGTTTATTAGCCAGAGTTCTCCAGAAACAGAACCAGTAGGATTTTTTTTTAGTTAATTTTTTTTTAGTTAAGATGTATTTCAAGGACTTAAATCACACAATTGGGGCTGGCAAATCCGAGTTGGTAGACCTGCCAGCAGGCTAGGAACTGTCAGGCAGTAGTCAGTGTTGCAGTCTTGAGGCAGAACTTCTTCCTTGGTTTTATTTTAAGACCTTCAACTAGTTAGATCAGGCCCACCTACATTAGTGATAATATTCTCCTTTACTAATGTCAGCTAATTGTAGATGTTAAGCACATCTACAAAATACTTCACAGAAACACCTAAATGAGTGTGTGTTGGGATAAATGGATACTATAGCTTAACCATGGGGACACTTAACATAACCATCACACGTGATATCAATTCCTAGTCTGCCATGGAATGAAACAAGGTGACTCCTGTGCATTCTCGTTAGCGTGGCACTCACAGAGGAGTGTGTGTCAGTAAATGGTGCCTTGACAGTGGTGCAGCAGCAATATTTATAGAGCCACCTACTGTGTACTGGTCACTATTTTAGAGACACAGCAGTGAATAAAAGGTACAAAACTCTCTGCCCTCCTAGAGTTTACTTCCTAGTGAGGAACACACAAATGAATAAGATAAGTAACATAAGTGATATGTTAGATGATGATAAGGGTTTGAGGAGAAATAAAGCAGGGAGGAAGAGCATGAGATGGAGGGCTGAAGTTTTAAATAGAATGTTGGTGGAGGCCTCAATGAGAAGGTGAGCAAAGTCCTAAGGAGGCAAGGGAGTGAGCCCTGCAGGTATCTAGGGGAAGGGTGTCACAGCAGAGGGAACAGCCAGTGCAAAGGTTTCTGAGGCTGGTGTACTGAAACAGCAAGGAGATGAATGTGGCTGGAGTGGAGTGAAGGAGGGGGAGGAAGCAGGATGTGAGATCAGAGGTAAAGGGGGCTCCTTCCCTAGAGTCTCTGAATCTGATGCTGTAAGGCCCAGGCTTTGCCTAAACCCTTCACTAGTCCAGGGAGGACCTCTCTTTACTGCGATACTTGCATTACACCGGAACTGGGCCCCAATGGGCTGGATGGACATCCCAAGCTTCTGCCAAAGGGAGGGGGGAAATGCCTCCGGGGCAGTAATAGTAGCTGACGGTATTGAGGAACACACTAAGCATGCTTACAATACCCACTGAAGCAGACCCCATCAGAAACCCCACTTTATAGACCAGGAAATTGAGGCCCAGAGAGAAGTTGCTGACTGCCATAAGCCCCCCTCCCAAAATGCTGCCAGAAACTTAACTGGCCCAACCATTATGGGGGCCACACACCAGCAAAACAGTGTGGCAGCTAAATGCCTAAATGTCAAGTTTAAGGACGTGTGTTGTGTTTAAGACAGAGGTGAAGAGTACAGGGAATGGGCAAGGGGATAGGAAACGGGTGGGGCTCAGGCAAGGCCCATTCAATGAGCAGAGCTGGCATGAGCAGGCCTGGTCTCTCCACAGGGGCCTTCAAGAAGTACAAATCACTTTGGCAGCCAGACTGGGGGAGGCAGAGGAAAAGATCAAGGTCCTACATTCAGGTATGTATGTGGCACATGGCCCTGGCCCTCACACAGCACCCTGGCCCTATCAGACCAGGAGGAGGAAGAGAGGCACTGACACTATGAACATAGGCCCAGGTGTTTCAGAATCAAGAGGGTAAGAAGGGATTTTGGGAAGGGGAAGGAGGGAAATTTACATTACCCAGCGGGGGACTGAGCCCCCAGGCCCTGGAGGCCACACTACTGTGGAGAGAGGTTTGAGCTAGAATTAAAATAGGGGTAGCAAATGGAAGGCCTTCTGTGTCCTAGCACACAAATAAGCCAGTCAGTTTAGAGAAGACAGTAGGGTGGGGTGGGATCTGGGGTAAACTGGAGAAAGCAGCTTTATCTAAAGAGCACCAGCCAAAAAGCCAGTCAGTTTAGAGAAGACAGTAGGGTGGGGTGGGATCTGGGGTAAACTGGAGAAAGCAGCTTTATCTAAAGAGCCCCCAACCAAAAAAAAAAAAAAAAAAAGAGCACCAGCCAGGCACTGCCTTATGGCCTAGTGTGGCCAATCCCTTCAATTTTCCTAGAAAAAATCAGAAATCTGGAATTTTATGAGAAATCCCTCATTTATTATCATATACTTATATCTGTTGATTTTGTTACTCCTCACTGTCCCCCTTACTTGCCAGGTCTGGATCTCAGGGTGGATGAGCTATGGGTAGATCATCCTACCCTGGTGACGTAATGGTGCTAGAAGGCTCATACCCCAGGCCTTGGGACAGCCAGCCCCCCTCCCCACCCCAGCCACTCCACATGCCTCTCACCAGCTTGAAGCCCCTCTAGAACCTGTCACCAGTTCTAACCACAAGAAAGGTCTTTCCTCACTAGCCTAGACCTCATTCTGCCTTCCAGGCCCTGCAGGAGTGGGTTCCACCTCCCTGGGGGTGGGCAGCCTCACCCTGGCTCTTTACTTTTTCCCAGCGTTGAAGGCCACGCAGACAGAGCTGCTGGAGCTGCGGCGGAAATATGATGAGGAGGCGGCATCCAAGTAAGTGAACACCCTGCTGAGGTATGCCTCCTCCCTCTGACCCTCCCAGACATGCCTTCTCTTTCTGATTCTATATGAGGTACCCATTTTATTAAACACCCTCTGCTCCCCACCCCACAGAGGCACACAGCCATATTCAATGGTCATTGCTGTGCCATTTATGCACAACAGACTATAAATGGCATTCTGGGTCTACTGGGCAGGGACCTGCGCCTTACCCCAGCCTCCTGGGGCTGTCCCACTCCCCAACTCCACAGTCCAACCCTCAGGGCCAAGTGTCATTCACTTAAATTACTCTGTACTCAATGTTTCTTCAGGATTTAAGACATTGCTGATTTCACAAACACTTATTTAGTGCTTACTATTTCCGCAGTACTATGCTGAGACCCTGGAGGAAACATTAGACATAGCCCTGGCAGACACTGACTAATGTGCAGTGATAAATTCATTCATTCACAGACATTCCTGAGCATTTCCTGTGTGCCCAGTACTGTTCTGGGCACATGGTAAATGCTGTCAAGGGAAGAACAGGAACCGCAAGAGGGAAGAACAGGGAGCGGTGGGTTCCCTGAGGAGGTGACTTTCAGTGTGAGGCCTGGAATATGAGCAGGACATGGCCACGTGAAGAACGCTGGGGAGTGTGCTCTGAGCAATTGGAAAAGCTTGTGCAGAGAGGGCCCTGAACATGCATGGAGCACATGCGTGGCTTATAGTCACCAAATGCTCCCCACAGGCCTCCTTTGGCCCCACCCCACACCAGGAAGAGGGGCAGCCAAGGTTGAAGAGGCCTGTTCGGACCCCCTAGGTGCTGAAGGGAGGAGGGCAGCAGAGTAAATAAATGGCCACCATAGGGGAGTAGAGAGGGTACCTAGGACGACTCTTTGGACCTGGTTCTCTTGAGGTAGGCATTCCAGGCAGAAGGCACAGTAGGAGCAAAAGCTGGGAGGTGCAGCTCTGCGACAGCTTCAGGGAGTGGACCCTGGGGGAGGTGAGAGGCCAGGCTGCAGTCCTGAGGCCCATTTCCATTTCCCTGCAGCCTGGGTTCTTTTCCGTCCAGCCTAGTTTCTCTAGTAAGAAGGGTGGAAGTCAGCCTCCTTGGCCCTCAGTTTTGAAACCCTTGGGTTCAGGCAGGGGCTGGGGGGTATCAGGATGGGTAGGGGGCCTGGTGGTGGCCAGAGTCCCTTCCTCAGGGCCTCATCTTTCTGTCTCAGGGCAGATGAAGTCAGCCTGATCATGACCAACCTGGAGAAAGCTAATCAGGTGAGGAAACCTGTGCTGGGGGACTCATTTTGCACGTGGTGGGGGTCTCGGGCCAGTCTGGGAGGAAGGGCTATGCTCAATCTGTATTTATTGAACTATGTGCCATACAGAGTGCTGAGGCTGGGAGATGTCTGGGACCCAGGCCCTGAGCTCCTGGAGGAAGGAGAGTGAGGGTGCAGACAGAATACTCAAAAACAGGACGGTCCAGGTAGCAGCAGTCAGAGAAGGGGCATTTGACCCAGATTCAGGAGTCAGGGAAGACATCCTGGAGGAAGGACCATGGAGCTGAGTCCCGATAAATCAGTCCAGACTGTAAAAGGATGGCATTCCAGGACAGGGAACGGCCTGGGCAAAAGCTGGGAGGCAGCCTGCACAGCAGGCAGGAGGCCTCTCTAGGTGTCTTTGCACAGCACGGGGAGGAGGGAAGCAGAGCATTGGCCAGTGATCCTAGCCCGCAAGTGCCCATCTCCAGGCCAAGTAGGGACTTGGGTCTCTCCCAGCCAAGACTGAGTGAGGAGCCAGGGTTGGTGATGAGGCACAAGCTTGGGTCTGCTTCTCTCTCTCTCTCCCACCTGGGGTCTCCTCCAGCACTCTATCTGTAAATTCCCAGAAGTGGGATTGCTGGGGAAGGGATCGGTGCACTTATAATTTGGCAGATGTAGCCAAACTGCCCTCCACCGGGTTGGGCCAATTTACACTCCATCCAGCAAGGTAGGAATGGGCCTGTGTCCCCGCCTCGCCAGTACCACCTGTTACCAGACTCAGAGATCTTTGCCATTCAACTAGGCCCGTGGTCGGCAAACTGCGGATCTCGAGCCACATGTGGCTCTTTGGCCCCTTGAGTGTGGCTCTTCCTAAGTCTTAGGAGTACCCTAATTAAGTTAATAACAATGTACCTACCTATATAGTTTAAGTTTAAAAAATTTGGCTCTCAAAAGAAATTTCAATCGTTGTACTGTTGATATTTGGCTCTGTTGACTAATGAGTTTGCCGACCACTAGTTACTAGGCTAAAGAAAAGGGATCTTAGTTTAAATAGAAAGCATTTTTCATGTTTATTTTTTCTGAGTATAAACTAAAACCTGCTCATTATAGAAAATATGGAGAAGAAAATAAATGTCATCATATTAGGTTTTTAATATACTAAATGTGAACAAGCGGATTCTGGAGCAGAGCAGATCTATGCTGTTACTGACATAGCAATAACCATGCCAGTTTGCCCGAATTCTTACCTGGGGTGATGAGGCAAAAACCAGCTGGCACCCTAAATGCACCAGAGTTTGTACTGACGTTAGCCCCTCCAGCCCCCCAAAATAGGAATCTGGGTAGTTCTGAGAGAGGGGCCTTCTGAGGGAGGGAGATAAATTATCTCCTGAGTGTCACGGTGAACAGAAGGGCAGGGGTCTGGGGTTTAGCATGTGGAATGCAAATGCTTCTCTCCAGGGGCAGATAAGACTGGTAGTGTTAAACCCAGCTTTATAGCCCAGGGGATGTCTCCACAGTCTGGGGCTCATCCCCCTCGAAATGTAAACACAGGCCCTCAGGGCAAATATCTCTGGCATTCTCACCAGCTCATCTGTCATAAATTGTCTTCCAAGGCCTGTCTTTTAGCCCAGATCCCAAGCTTCAGTAACAAGAATATTTTCTCTACAACCCCACACACCCAAAACGTAACTGACTTGAACCTTTTATGGAATAAGGCAGGATACAATAAATTAAAAAATCCATTAAAAAATAGAATGTGCCCTAGCTGGTTCGGTTCAGTGGATAGAGCATTGGCCTGCAGACTGAAGGGTCCTGGGTTTGATTCTGGTCAAGGGCACATGCCCGGGTTGCTGGCTCAATCCCCAGTAGGGGGCATGCAGGAGGCAGCCGATCCATGATTCTCTCTCATCATTGATATTTCAATCTTTCCCTCTCCTTCCTCTCTGAAATCAATAAAAATATATTTAAATAAATAAATAATCAAACAGAATGTGCCAATGGAGGTGTGTGGGTCTCTGTGTGTACATAGTGGGCATAGCATCGTGATTGTCAAGGTCAGTGTGTAAGTTAAACATAATCACTATGCCCTGTGTCACCAGCTGAGGGTAAAAAAAAAGCTGCATCTGTTATAATTTTTCAAGTAATGGCTCAAGATTCCACATACCCTGTTGATGTTAATAAAGTTAACCAGTTATTGACACACTTACATGTGTCAGGCACCAAGCTAAAATGCCTAATGAGTTGTGTTTTTCCAAATCTCTTAATAAAAAACAACTCTAGAAGGTAGTTGCTTTTATAATCCCCATTTTGTAGATAGGGAAACTGAAGCTGGGGAGATGAAATCTCTTACCCAAGGTCACACACACCCAGGAAGTGACAATGTACAGATTTCTCTCCAAAGCCACAAGGCTATGTTGTTAACATTTAGATGCTTCCTTCCAGACTTTTTTTCTCAGAAATGTTTGAAGACCCAATTCAGTAAACCGCCTCTTTCTGATTTAGAAGTATTTCAGTATGTCTCTGCAGTAGATGTGTTTCATTTTCCCCATTTCACAAAAGGAAAGCTGAGACCCAGGGAGGGGAAGTGCCTTGCCCAAGGGCCTTCAGTAGCTTGTGGGCTGGGAAGCCACCTCAGCAGATGCCCCATCCAGGATTCCACACCAGGTGGTCGGGGAGCTGGGGACAAACTTGCCTTCTGACCAGACAGGCCTGAAGTTTACTTGGGATACAGAGTGGCCTCAAGTGTGTAAAAAGTTGCCGATCCCATCAAGACAGCATCTCCCTCCTGCCCTTGTGGATTGGGAATGTTCTGACTCCTCTTGGACTCTCAAGAACCCTGGGGGAATCAAAAGCCAAGTCAAGGGTTCAAGACCCAAAAAGTAGGACCCTCAGCCCTCAACCCTGCCTGCCCAGCCCATGCCTAAGACGGTGGAGGGAGAAGGTGAAGGGCCAGGGTGACATCCATTGTGGCCCCATTCACTTCTTAACCACACTTGTCCCATCTCCTCCTCAGAGAGCTGAGGCTGCCCAGCGGGAGGTGGAAAGTCTTCGGGAACAACTTGCCTCTGTCAACAGCTCCATCCGCCTGGCCTGCTGCTCCCCCCAGAATCCCAGTGGGGTAAGGATGGTGGGAGAGCCAGAGGGAAAGGTTGGGAAAGGCCATGTTTGTGGGTATGAATATGTGGGTTGTTTGTGTGCATCTATGCGAAATTGTGCACATGGATGTGTGGGTTTCTGATACTTACAGTGGGAGTAGCATCTTAATTGCCAAGGTCACTTGCTTCAACAGTTAAGGGTAAAAATACAGCCCAGCTCTTAACTTTTCAAGCTCAAGCTTCCATATATCCTGATTAACTGGAAGTTCAGTATCTTCCTTTGAAAGTCCCCTCATGCCCAATTGTCCAAAAATGCCAGAAACCTACTCAGACCAAAGAGGGTCGTTCCTATTGCCAAATGTCTGCCTGGCAAGAGGGCAAGGGGTGGGAAGATATGATCATTAGAGCAGCAGTGCAGTTTTGGTGGATGTCACCAGGTGTCGCTGTTGACCACTGGTCTCACACTGCTTGGTGAAGGCTTGGGACTACACCCTGCTGGTTCTCTGTATCCTTCCAGACCCAGACAAAAATACATACCAAGATCTGATGTTAATGCGCATATTTAGCCATTCGCGCCCAAAACATGAATTTTAATGCCACATGCTATGAAGAGCCAATCTTCTGTCATTAACCCTGAGGTCTCTGTATTTTTTTAACTATATTTTTATTGATTTCAGAGAGGAAAGGAGAGGGAGAGAGATAAGAACATCAATGATGAGAGAGAATCATTGATCAGCTGCCTCCTGCATGCCCCCCACTAGGGATCAAGACCACACCCAGGCACATGCCCTTGACCAAGATCGAACCCGGGACCCTTCACTCCGCAGACCGACGCTGTATCCACTGAGCCAAGCCGGCTAGGGCGTGAGGTCTCTGTATTAAGCCTGGTTGGCCGGTGCATCTTTCTCTTTCCCCCTGGTTGGTGTCCCTTTGGGTCCCAGGATCATTTCCTGCCAAAGGATTTTAGTCAGAACCACCCCAACCTATCCTTGTGTCATATTTTAGAAGTCTCCATCTCTCTTCTCTCAGAAAGCCTTGAGTTCCTCATGTCAATTGGTCCGCCTACTTCCAGATCTCTGCAGACAAGGCATTAGATTCACGGTTCCTTACATAATAACAGGTCTACCCCAGGGTAATTTATTGTCTCCACCCATGAACCTGAAGTGACCGGCATAATTTTAACCTTACCTGCCACCCTGATGCACTGGCCTGTGTCTGTTTCTGTTTGAATATTGGAATGTGCATCTGTTTGTGACCTTTGGAAAATGACTGCATCTTTACTCTTAACTGTGCCTCAGTTTCTTCATCTGTACAAGTAAGATCTACATTATAGGACTGTTAAAAGGATTACATGTAAAATGCCTAAAATGGGACTTGGCTCAATCTATGCTCAGTAAATATTTGATGCTACTATTATTATTATTATTAATATGGTTTTGGTGTGTCTGGGGTTTTGCCCACAAGAGCAATGGTCTTTTTGAGCATATACATGTCTGTGTGTGTCTGGTGATGTCCACATGAGTGTGTCTCCTTGACACCTGTGTATTTCTCTGTCTGTGTCAGTGTGTGTTGTGGCTATCAGTGTGTCCACCGGTGTCTGTGTCCCAGGAGGCGGTGTGTATGTCTCACTGTGCCTGGATGTCTGCTCATGAGGATGTCTAAGAGATAATTTGCTGATGGTTCTTAATTAACCCCGGTGGAACCCAGCAAATGCCTGTGCTAATCAGCCACTGGGATCTTGGCTAGTTTAGGGGTGAGCTTTTCTGAGCAGAACAGTGGCACTCGATGCTAATTAATTTAATGTGTTAATGGCATCCGCTTCCTGTTTTAATTGTCACTTATCTCCATGGAAGAATACCCAGGGTTGGCAGTGATGGGTTTTTGTTTTGTGTTGATTTGTTTTTGTAAAGCTTCTTAGATTCATTTGTAACTGAACTCAAAATCAGCCTGACTTCAGTTTCCCTCAAACAGCAACCTCTTTGTCTTCATCCAGGACAAAGGGACCATTTCCTAAAACCTAGAGAAGCAGTGGGACTTGGGGCTGGTGGCAAATTAGGAAAAGGAAGGAACCACCCCTAATGTGACCTGTGGCTACAAGGTCTCACGTCTAACCCTATGGGTCTCTTACTGCCTGGAATGGAGACATCCTGCACCCATTTTAGAAACCCAAACCTTTGTCTGTGCTGTTCCCTCTGCTGGTAACACCCTATCCCCACACTTCCTCACCCTGACCCTGGTCCTGATCCTGACCCTGGCATTCTAACCCTGACACTCTAACCCTGACCCCAACCCCAACCCTAATCCTCAACTCTAACCCCAGTTCCTAGCCCTAGCTCTCACCCCTGATCCTGACCCTATTAACCTTTCGCTGAGTCATAATAGCTAGTTTGGCTGAATCATGCTGTTTTTACATGTTGGGGTTTTTTTTTTTTTTTGCTCAGTCATGCTGGTGGATTGTTGCCAAGCCATGCTGGCGGTATTTGTGGAGTTGTGCTCGAGATTTTTGCTGAGTTATGGTACTGGATTTTTTACTGAGTCACGCTAGCGAATTTTTGCTGAGTCATGCTAGCAGGTATTTGTTGGATCATGGTTTTCATTTTTGCTGAGCCATGCTTGTTATTTTTGCTGAATCATGGTATTGACTCTACTGAGTCATGATTTTGATTTTTGCTGAATCATGGTTTTAGCAAATGTTTTATTTAAGTATCCTATGTAATAAAACCCTAATATGCAAATCGACCAAATGACGGAACAACCGGTCGCTATGATGTGCATTGACCACCAGGGGGCAGATGCTTAATGTAGGAGCTGCCCCCTGGTGGTCAGTGCGCTCCCACAGGGGGAGCGCCGCTCAGCCAGAAGCCGGGCTCATGGCTGGCAAGCACAGCAGCAGTGGTGGGAGCCTCTCCTGCCTCCGCTGCAGGTGGGCGGTAAGGAGCGAGGGGTCCCGGACTGCGAGAGCCCCGGACTGCGAGAGGGATCCCGGACTGCATGAGGGCACAGGCTGAGGAAACTACTCCTTCCCCCTCCAGAGCACAAATTTCGTGCACCAGGCCTCTAGTAATATACGTAAGGGAAAATGTGCATATCATAAGTGTACAGCACATTGAATTTTTCAGAATGAACACACCCCATAACCAGCATCTAGATCAAGAAGAACATTCCCAGCCCCCCAGAAACTGTGTTTGTATCTGATCTTAGTTGAATAACACACACACCTTGGTGTCTGGTTTCTTCACTCCATATTCTATCAGAGAGAGTTGTTGGAGTAGTTGTAGATTATTCTTTTTCATTCCTGTATAGTATTCCATTGTGGAATATACCGTAGTCTATCCACATTCTCTTGTTGGTAGGCATTTGGAGGGTTTCCAGTTCGGGGGTATTACCGAGAGGGCTGCTGTGAACATGTGTCCTGGTGTCCGTGTCTGGTGCAGAGGGGCCTGCATTTCTCCTGCATATATGCCAATGAGTGGAAGCACATATGTTCCCCTTCAGTGGATGCTGCCAAGCAATCTTCTAAATCTCTAACGTGTTCTTGAACTTCATCACAGTTTAGACACATCTTCCTCCAGAAAACCTTTCCTGCTCACTTCCCCTCCCACCTGTTTAGTTTCAAGAATAGAGGGAAAGGCATCCAGGCTGGTAGGTCCAGCCTGGACAAGGCTCGGAGACGGAAAGAGAAAAGCCATGGGCCTGTCAAATGGCTGACTGCTCTGTGGGGCTCAGCACTAAGACCATACCACAGATGGATCTCCCGTTTTGTTTGGGACTCAGGTGGGGAGGCCAGCCCTGCAGCCCCTCAAAAACCCCCTTTGTCCTCAGGATAAGGTGAACTTCACACTGTGCTCGGGCCCGCGGCTTGAGGCTGCCCTGGCCTCCAAGGATCGGGAGATCCTGCGGCTGCTGAAGGATGTGCAGCACCTCCAGAACTCTCTGCAGGAGCTGGAGGAAGCCTCCGCCAACCAGATTGCCGACCTGGAACGGCAGCTCACAGCCAAGTCCGAGGCCATCGAGGTAGGTCTTTGGGGAGCAGGTGGGCAGATGGGAGGTGGGTGGGACATTCCCAGACAGAAGGACAGCCCAGCCTCATTGTCTTTGTTTGCTCCTCTAGAAGCTGGAAGAGAAGCTCCAGGCACAGTCTGACTATGAAGAAATTAAAACAGAGCTGAGGTACTGTGTAGTGGGGCTCCATAGACCCCAGTCCTCTTCCCTGGCCAGGGCCACCTGGGCAGATGGCCAGGGCCCTTGGCAGAATCCGTTACCTTCCTCCCTCCCACCACACTCCACTTTGTGATGCCCTTGTCTCCTCTCCACTGGTACTTTGGGTGTCGTGCGCAGTCCTTTGCCATTAAGAGCTGCCTGTCAGAGAACATGCAAGGCAGCCGTGTTGTTGGTGGTGGTGTGCCTGGGGGGAGACGGGGATGATGCATTGATCAGATAAGCTCAAGTGGGCCAGTGTGAGAGTCGGTTAGCACAGCACCCCTCCTGGTAACATTGGAACCAGTTCACAAGCCCCCTACTTAAAGCCTTGTTACCATGAGGCCAGCGTTGTGCGGGTCCAGGGGGTGAGGGCAGTTGTTCTCAGTCAGCGAAGATAGGCCAGTGGAAGTGCCTCTCCCAAGGCCTCTCCCCAAGCCAGGGAAGCATGGCTGCTTCACACTCTCCACTTTCTCCGGCAGCATCCTGAAAGCCATGAAGCTGGCCTCCAGCACCTGCAGCCTCCCCCAGGTGAGTGTCCCCGCCACTCTTCCCATGGGACAGGCTGCCCGTGAGAGCCTTCCACCAACCACGCCCTCCCAGCCCGGCCTCTTATCTCCTCAGAGCCTGGCCAAGCCCGAGGACTCGCTGCTCATGGCCAAGGAGGCGTTCTTCCCTGCACAGAAGTTTCTGCTGGAAAAGCCAGGTCTCTTGGCCAGCCCTGGTAGGGGAGGGGATGTTCTCGGGGCTAAGGGACTGGGATGGGGCTGTGATGGGTCCCTGGCCTTCTCCATGCCCACAGACCACTGCCTTCCACTGAGGCAGGAGAGTGATGGAGAAAAGGGGTGCACGGTGATTGAGCACCTGCAGTGTGCCTGGCACTGAGCTGGGCACCGTCCATGTCTAAGCCAGTTGGCAGCTGTCCCACAGGATGTCCACACACATTCACACACATACTCAAGGACATACAGCTCACTCAGGCCTCCTAAGGTCACCAAAGGCTCCACGCAGCCCCGAGCCTTCATGAGCAGTAGGATGAGGTCACGGGACAAGGCGGGCATTCACATTGCACCCCCCGCAGCAGGCATTGCTCTCTCCCAAATCACCTGCTCAGCCACTTGCCCCTTCTCCTACACAGCGACTCCAGGACCTTTAAGCAGTGCGGCCCCAGCCAAAACTCTGTGCCTCCATTTCCTAAACTAAAAAATGGGGGCAGTGATGGGGCCTACTTCATGGATGAGGCGGGTGCCTGGGAAGTGGGTACTCCTGCAGGATGGGATTAATCCAAACTCCCCACCGCAGGGGCGGTGCTGGGCCTATAACAAGTGCTCAGTTAATGTTCTTCATGGCAGGAGGGAGGGCTCCCCAGAGCAGGCAATTGGACCAGGCCTTGAAGGATGGGGATTTGAGAATGGGGGAGAGGTTGCTGGCAGAAAGAGCAGTGTCAACACTGGATGCCTATAGCACTTCTCTCCTTCCCTCTTCTACCCCATCCCCTCTTCTCCCCACTTCCTCTCTCCCCTGCCTCTGAATTTCTGTCTCTGTATGTTTCCCTCTGTCTTTGTCTCCTTCTTTCTCTCTGTCCATCTGTCTTTCACTCTGTCTCTGCCTGACTCTCATATGCATGATTTCTCTCATGTAATTTCTCTCTCTCTTTTTTCTATCTCTCTCGTGTCTCTTTCTCTGTGTATGTCTCATTATTTCTCTCCCTGTCTTACTCTCTTGTCTGTCTCTCCTCTCTCCTTCTGTCCGTCTCTCTCTAGAGGAGGACCCTTCGGAGGACGACTCCATCAAGGACTGTCTGGGCACAGAGCAGCCCTACCCATCTCCTTCACAGCTCCCACCACCGCCACCACCAGGGCCGGAAGACCCCCTGTCCCCAGGCCCCGGGCAGCCCCTGCTGGGCCCTAGCCTGGGCCCTGATGGCCCTCGAACTTTCTCACTGTCCCCTTTCCCCAGCCTGGCTTCAGGGGAGAGACTGGCAGGGGACGTGCTGCTGTCTAAGCACATGATGCCCCCGGCCACCTTCAAGGGAGAGGCAGGCAGCCTGCTGGTGTTTCCCCCCACCTTCTACACCAAGCCCCC